AAACAACATGGTCTAATATACATACACACGAACATATTATCAGAAAAGGGAATTATGAAATATAATGCACTCTGCCATTCATTCAGTTCATCTCATTCCATTCCATTCATCTAATCCATCCCATTTAATTTGCATCCATTCTACACTATCTTATCTTATCCAATTATATTTCAGAAAAATTCTCTATCCTTAGTTGAGAACAAATTCCCTGATATGGAATAAGAGGTAAGGCTCCTCCATAATCTCCTTCAGTGTGGAGAAAGGAAAATATCAATTTTTATTTCTTTAGTTATTATTATGTACAAAACACTAAGGCTGATTCTAAAAATAATATATTTCAGGATAAATCTATACATCAATTTTCTCTATTCTTGTATCATTCATCCTATCTATTTTTTTACAATGTATTTACTAAGTACTTTATTATTAACTGAAAAAAATATTAACTTAATTTCATCTATACATAATTTCCCCAACCCAGGCAGAGAATGGAAATAAGTGAACTCCAAATGGCAATTATGGGCTGGGAAATCAGGAAGATTTCAAGATCTAGTGAGGTTGCAGAGTGTATTTATTAGTGGGCAGGAAAGGGTAACTTGAAAAATAGTTAATTTGATCAGATAAGAGGGTTCTTGAGTCCAGATTTGTGGTGGAAGGATTTTATGAGATGTTTATATCTATAAGAATGGTCTTTTGGTGATTGGATTAAGTGATGTTGGCAGATTATGGAAAGTAATGTGATCAGAAACTCTGAAACTAGAGTTTAAGATGGGCAAAGGAACACAGCCTATTTTTTTTTTTGGAGAGATTTTCACTGTAAGGCGTGTGTGCTCGCCAGACAGACAGAGAGAGACATAGAGACAGAAAGCGAGAAATCACCCCCCAGGGGGGATGGTCACGCCGCAATCCCTTCTCCTCCTTTCTCCTCTCGGGATCTTGGGCATGCACGCACACGCACCCGGCGTGAGTTTTTTAAGCCACCGGGTCCGGGACACAAACCGCGGTCGACTACGTGGGAGTCCAGCGACATAGCCATTACGCTAACTGCTGGTTCCTAGGAACACAGCCTATTTGTACCTAAAATCCATTGCTGTTTGCATGTTTGATCCCTTCCACCCTAAATTCTCTGTCTCTAGATCATTTAATACTTTGTTTCATTCAGTGCTGGGATCCTCAAACCTCTGGCCTCAAAATGCTGGTCAGTGGCCTGTTAGGGACTGGGCTGCACAGGAAGAGGTGCATGGTAGGCAAGCAGGCAAGGCGTCATTTGTATTTGTAGCCACTCTCCATCACTTGCATGTTGCCTGAGCTCCTCTTCCTGTCAAACCTAGTGGCAGTATTGTTATAGATTCTCATAAGAACACAAGCCCATTGAAAAATTATCTTCTGAGAAAATGGTTCCTGGTGCCATAAAGGTTGGGAACTGTTGATTTAATGCCATGATTTCAACCTTATGAAACACTAAGGAGAACTGCTGGAGCCATACTACTTCCTGGACTTTTGATCTATAATTGTTGGATTAATAAGTAGTTAGATAATAAATTGGTGTAGGTTTAAATTGATAAATTTGTGTGTGACAGCAATACAAGAACACAGAAGTTAAACAGGTACCTCAACTGTGACATGTCCATTACAGAACTTATGATATTCCAAACCCTACATACTCTGATTCTTCTCCATTCTTTCTGATCTTACTTAATGACACCATTATTCATACACTGGCTTAGGCTAACAATATCAGAGTTATTTCTAGATTACTTCTTTTCCTTCAAACATGAGATCCACCACTTCATCAAATATTAGGAGTCTTCAAAAAGTTCATAGAAAATGTATCTTATAAGAAACTATGCTTGGATTTCAATTTTGTTTACACCAAAATAAACTTTAATTAACTTGTCATTACAAATCCAAACAAGATCTATTTTAATGAAGGATAAGACATCAGTTTGAAAAACACCCCTATGAGATCAACATGAATTTTACTAAAATTAAAGCAAGAAATAAACATCAATTTTGTGGTGAAAATTGGGTGGAAGAATGACTGACAAATGCTTTACAAAAAGTTCAAGGGGAGAATGCCCCCAAAGAAATGATCAGTTTGTAAATGAATAACTTGTTAAAAGGAAAAGACAGTGCTGACACAGATGCCCACAGTAGCACACCATTCACATCACTTTCTAAAGAAATGATTACTTACAGTTACTCTGGTCCACATTCTAATTGAATGTTAATAGCAGAAATAACCAACAATATAGACATCTCAGTTGGTTCAACGTACACAATTCTGACTGAAAAATTAAAGTCGAATAAACTTTCTGCTAAGTAGCTGCCAAGACTTTTATATCCAGATCAAATAAGAGTAAAGCTTTCAATGGACATTTTAAACAAGTGTGATAAAGATCCTGAAGCATTTCTTTGAACAATTGTAATAGGAAATGACCCATGACTTTAAGAGTATGATTCTAAAGTCAAAGCACAACCAAAGCAATTGCTCTGTTGAATGGATGCACCCTATAGCAAAAATCTCTCTTAAAAAAAAAAAAAGTGGCAAAGCTTTAGAAGAAAAATGCCTAGGAGTTCTTCACCAGAATCCTTCACCACCACAACAGTGCTCTTGTTCCTTACTTTCATCAAGCAAGGACAACTTTGCAAGTGTTTCAATGGGAAATCATTAGACATCTATGGTATTGTACTGATTTGGCTTTTGTTTGACTTCTGTCTGTTTCCTAATCTTACAAATCTTTAAAGAACACACATTTTTTTTCATTAATAATGTAAAATAACTGAATTGACATGGTCAAATTCTCAGGATCTTCAATTCTTTAAGAATGGACATAATAGCCAGTATCATCACTTATGTTGAACTCAATTAAGCTTCTGTTGGGAAATAAAGTTTGTATTTTAAACTTTTATCTTTTAATTTCATTTCTTAATGACATTATTGAGGTTCCCTCAGACTTTGATATTGTTTTGAGACTGTATCCTGTAGCTGACTACTTTTCCTCCATTTCCATTGATCCCACCCTAGTATAAGCCATTCCTTCTCTCACCAGGACTTCTAAAATGCCTCAACTCTTGATCTTTTCAGTTTGACATCCACAGAGCAGCAGAGTGATGAAGTTTTTGAAATGTTAATCAGACAATGCTATTCCCTCATATAAAACTGCATTTCCTATAACATTTCAAATAAAATTCAAAATTCAAAGGCTTTATGATGTGTTTTGCATCTACCTTCTTTTATTCTCCTCTCTGTGAGCCACATTAAAGATTTTTTTTGATCCTCTTACACATGAAATCCATCACTGCTTCAGACCTTTATATGTTTGTCCCTTCTGCCTTGAATACTCCTTCTAGAAATCATTTAATACCTTACTTTGTAACATTCTTCAGTTTTTTTCCTCAAATATCACTTAGAGAGCTTCCCCTGATTATCATATAGAACAGTCAATCACCACTACTCAGTATCACTCTTTTTCTTTTTTTAAAATTACTTTTAACAGCCATCTCTTTTCTTAAATTTCATTTATGTATACTTACTTTTTTTTTGTCTCTAGAATTTTAAGCTCAACAGGAACAGTAAATTTGACTGCCTTTATTATAGGTGTTTACTTACTAGAACAAAAGTTAACTGTGGAATGAAAGATAGCACAAAGCACATACAAACAAATTTAGGCTTGTTTAAGGTGTAGTTGAGAAGTTTTAATTCATAAGTTTTTGGTTTGATGGTAGACTTAAGTGTCCTGGAGGAAAAATGTAGTTCTATTCTTCAGAGTCAAAGTGGAAAGCTAGAACTCCATAACAAAATATGGGAATAGCAGTTGGCGTAATAGCTGTGTCACTGGACTCCCATTAGTTGACCGTGGTTCGAGTCCCAGACCCAGTGGCTTAAATTCTTGCTCGACGTGTGTGTGTGAGTGCCCAAGATCTCAAGAGGATGGAGGAGAAGGGAGAAGGGATGGCAGTCTGGCCATCTCCCCAGGGTGGGGTGGTGGTGATTTCTCGCTTTCTGTCTCTCTGTCTCTCTCTGTCTTTCTGGCGAGTGCATGTGCCCTGTAGCAAAAAGTTCTCAAAAAATTTAAAAAAGAAAAATAAAACTCCATAACAAGATAGAGCTCTACTGACATAACAAGACCAATCATATTATAAACTTCAACTTGAGGTTAGAAGCGGGACCAAGAGATGGCATGATGATTACATCAGTTGACAGTCCTAGACCTGGTGGCTTAAAACTCACACCAGGCACTTGCAGTGTGTGTACAAAAATCCCAAGAAGAGAGTAGAGGAGAAGAGATTGCAGTGTGGTCATCCCCCTTGGGGTGTGATTTATTGCTTTCTGTCTCTGTCTCTCCAGTTAGAGCACATGCCCTATATCAAAAATCTCTCTCTCTCAAAAAAAAAATGGTTAGAAACAATAGAAATCCATCAGCATTGTAATTATTGATATGTGAAACCATCTTCTATCTCTTCCTTAGCTTGGAAAATAATTTTTCATACAGATATGATAAATGTGCATCTTTCTCTGTTAGACAGTTAGATTTTCCAGAAACACATTGCTCCTCTAGAATTGAACAGCTCATGTTAAAGTCTATTTATAAGTAATGATCACATGGTAGTCACAAATTTTCAGGAGGTATCATTTTCTAGTTTTAATATCTATCAACATGTTATTTTGTGCTTTGTGATTGTATGATGTGTTGCAGTACTCCAGAGGGCATCATGTTGCCTATTCTTCTAGCTTCATCACCATAAACTGCAAGTTTAGGTTCTCACTGTGTATTTTTCCTAATTACCTCTTTGGCCTGATGGGACAGGGCCATACTTCTGGTAGCACTCATCTTGACTTGAAATAATTAACTGTGGACCAATGGGTGACTCCATGACAAGAGGGAGACTTGATATTGTTGCTCAACTCTTTATTTTCACTTTGTTGGTATACCATTTTGGGGGTAGAAGTTGTTTCTAATTTCTTTTTTCCAAAAGTTCAGAGCTTTTGAAATATCTTATCTTAATCCCCAAATAGAAAGGATTTTATCCCAGAAGCTCTGAGTACTTTTGGAAGTTGTATTTTGGGTAGTAGAAGCAGTAGTTGCAGTGGTAGTGGTGACTGTTGTAGCAGTAGTGGTGCTTGGTGTAGTGGGAGCGGCACTTGTTGTAGCAGTAGTGGCGCTTGTTGTAGTGGGAGCAGCACTTGTTGTAGCAGTAGTGGCGCTTGTTGTAGTGGGAGCAGCACTTGTTGTAGCAGTAGTGGTACCTGGTGTAGTGGGAGCGGCGCCTGTTGTAGCAGTAGAGGCACCTGTAGTAGCGGAAGTGGTGCCTGTTGTAGTGGGAGTGCTGCTTATTGCAGCAGTAGTAGCACCTGTTGTTGTGGTGGCACTTGTCGTAGTAGTTGTTTGTATTTGGGGTGCAGGAGTAGGGAAGGGAGGAGAAATTGTAGGATATCCAGGGGATGGTGGAGGTCCAGGTGGATAGGGGATTGGTTTGAAAGGTGGATATTGATAACCTGGATGAAAAGGGGGAGGAGGAGGGAGTGGTGGAATTCTCCCTGGACCACTGGGAGGAGGAGGGGGTGGTGGGATTCTCCCTGGACCATAGGGAGGAGGGAGTGGAGGGATTCTCCCTGGGCCATAGGGAGGAGGGGGTGGAGGGATTCTCCCTGGGCCATAGGGAGGAGGGGGTGGAGGAATTCTCCCTGGGCCATAGGGAGGAGGGGGTGGAGGAATTCTTCCTGGGCCATAGGGTGGAGGACGAGGTGGTTGAACAAGTGGTGGGCCAAAAGGATTAGGTGCTGGAGGAAGCTGTGGTCTAGGTTGATATGGTCCCCAGGGGCCTCTGTGACTCTCTCCAGGCTGCAAGAAAACAGAAGTAAACAATTTTAAATCAGATATTTCAAAGTCAAGCATAAGAACATATACTTACCATGGTAAGCAGAAATCTAAGTTGGCACCCAAGATTTCCATTCCCTGGCTTACCTGAGTCAGGAGAGCCCTTTTAAGACAAGTTCTGTGAATTCAGAGATAGAAATCAGAGAGATCTGAGGTGCAGCAAATGCTATTATATTGGCTTTGAATCAAGGTCCCTGTTGTGGAAATTACCACTTGGAAGTAAACAGTAGGTGGGCTATAGGAACTGAAGGTGGCCTGGGCCCTTAATCAGAAAGAAAAGAAGGGCTTCAGACCCTGACAAACATGCAAGGTTGAAAGAGCATCCTGAGAAGGAAACAAAAACATGCAATAGTTTTTTAAAATGGGAGACCCTGGGCAGAGAGTCTAACCAAGCCACACTGGGTTATGATCAAAGAAATCATGTGATAGTCAATGGATTATCTAATGAAATATCTTCATAGGAAATATCTTCTTAATCTCTTAACCCAGTCACAGTCACTAGCTCCCATTCCACAACTAGCTAAAGTAAATGAACTAAATAAAAATAAAAATTCAGTGTTAGAAAGAAAAATTAGCCTCACAAAGGACTATATAATCAGGTCTAACTCCTATAAAATTGGTTTTGGGGGACCAGTAGTTAGCGTAATGGCTATGTCGCTGGACTTCCACGTAGTCGACTGTGGTTCGAGTCCCGGATCTGGTGGCTTGAACTCATGCTTGGCGCGTGTGCGTGCATGCCAAAGACCCCGAGAGGAGAGTGGAAGAGAAGGGATTGCGGTGTGGCCATCCCCCCTGGGGGGTGATTTCTCACTTTCTGTCTCTGTCTCTCTCTGTCTGGTGAGTGCACGCTCCCTATAGCAAAAACAAACAAACAAACAAACAAAAACAAAAACAAAAAACCTCTCCAAAAAAAGAAAAAAAAATTGGTTTAGGAACAATCCAGCTAAGACACGGATAACTTTGAGTCTACATTTATTTACATTTTTGTGAGATTAATAGTAGGCCCTTGTGAGACTTGCTTTGAGGATTAAGTGAGATAATGTATGTAAGGCATTTGGAAAATTACCCATGGCAAACAAAACACTTAAAAGATGATAGGCAAATTATTACTCCTTACCTAGCCTATATGCAGATGTCTGTCTTTCTTTCTTTTTTTTTTTTTTGGCTATAGGGCATGTGTGCTTGCCAGAAAGACAAAGAGGGTGAGACAGAGAGAAAGAAAGAAAGTGAGAAATCACCATCACCCCCCAGAAGATGGCCATGATGCAATCCCTTCTCTTCCATTCTCCTCTTGGGATCTTGAGCACACACACACACACACATGCCAGCGTGAGTGTAAGCCACCGGGTCGGGGACTCAAACCGTGGTCGACTACATGGGAATCCAGTGACATAGTCATTACGCCAACTGCTGGTCCCAAGAGGTATTTCTATCCTTTGCATTCCAACTTTCAGTCGCTAATAATCATCATGAATATCATATAATTGAGTTGGGGAAAGGCTTATTTTTATTTAAACTGCTTATGCTAAGCTGTTGAATATAGCTTGAAAGAGCATCCTGAGAAGGAAACAAAAACATGCAACAGCTGTTTAAAATGGGAGACCCTGGGCAGAAAGTCTAACCAAGCCATACTGGGTTAGAATCAAAGAAATCATGTGATAGTCAATGGATTATCTAATGAAATATCTTCAGTATTGAGGATTAAATGAGATGAAATTGAAAATCAGTTTCAATATTAAATTTATAAAACACAAAATGACCTTTTGAATACACAAGGGGCCTCAAGAAGTTTATGGAAAAATGGAAGTAAAAGACCAGTTTGCTTTGGTGCAAAATTTTTTGCAAGTCATGCTTTGTTTTTTTATAATACACATTTTTCAAGAACTTCTTGAAGATGCCTTGTATGAATGTTTTATTGACTTATCAAAAATGTTGTCAGGACCAGCAGTTGGTGCAATGGCTATGTTGCTGGACTCCCATGTAGTTGACCATGGTTCAAGTCTCAGACCCAGTGGCTTAAACTCACACCAGGTGTGTGTGTGTGTGTGCCCAAGATCCAGAGAGGAGAATGGAGGAGAAGGGATTGCGGCATGGACATCCCACCTGGGGGATGATTTTTTACTTTCTGTCTTTCTGTCTCTGTCTTTCTGGTGAGCACATGTGCCCTATAGTAAAAAAACCTCTAAAAAAAAAAATTACCCTAAAATTCATCTCCTCTTCCAAACACTAGAATTAAAATTTTCCTACTTAGAAATATACTATTGTTGCATAACTTATAAAAAAGTATGCTTTTGTATTTTATCTTCTGTAATTGTTATGATATTTAATATCTTCAGTGGTATTTAACTTAGTCCTTTAAATGGTAGGTTTACTGTGTTAGTAGCTTCTCAGAACTGAGCATGCACAGATTCTCCTGAATCCCTAGAAAAATGCATCTTCCCAGGTTCCACTCTCAGACATGTTTATACAGTCGAAGACAAGGTCTGTAATACTTTTAATAAGTGAATCATGTGACAGGATAGAGATGATTCATACACCCACATACTAGGAACAATTGTTCTTTTCTATTTTTACTTTATCATTCCATAGGGTTTTACCTACTCATGTAGTTACTACAGTACAAGGACCCACATTTATACATATTTGTATAATGTAGTTTTATATGATAGATCTGAGCTCTCCAATATGGGAGCTATCAGCCATCCATAGCTATTTTAGTTAAATTAGAACTTTAAATTTAAACTAAAGCACTAGAACAGTGTTTAATAAAAAAACTGATAGCTGCTCATCCACAAGGAAAGATAATATCATAAGTGTAAACAGAAATCTGAAGAACTAGTTAGTTACTGAGGAAAATGGGAGGATATGAGAAAGTGGTTAATGATACTTACCGAGAAATAGGCTACTAGAGCACAAAGGCCCAAAATCAAAGACAGTGGCTTCATCCTGTGGATGTTCCTGAAAGTAAGCATAATGGCTGATCAGCATTACTTGTTTGTTGATTTTTGATTAAAAAGTAATGTTTGGAATGTATCTCAGCACATGGTATATAACATAGTGTAGTTTCAGTCCTGTAGCATTTTTTTTTTTTGGAGAGGTTTTTGCTATAGGGCACATACGCTTGCCAGACAGACAGAGAGACAGAGAGATAGAAAGCGAGAAATCACCCCCTAGGGTGGATGGCCATGCTGCAATCCCTTCTCCTCCATTCTCCTCTCGGGATCTTGGGCACGCACGCACACGTGCCTGGCGTGAGTTTTAAGCCACTGGGTCCAGGACGTGAACCGCGGTCGACTACAAGGGAGTCCAGCGACATAGCCATTATGCTAACTGCTGGTGCCGAGTCCTGTAGCATTTTTAAGGACTTTGTATAACATTGTTTTGGATGCATTATTAATGTAGAATGATATCAATAGCCTCATAAAACTTGACTGTAAAATTACATAACCAATTTTCATTTTTGACACATAAACTGACACGGTGGATACTGTCAAAGAGTTATTCATAAAATGTTCTGAACAATAGAAACTTTTAGTCATGATGCATTTTTTCATAGAAAAATATGTCATGACTTTCTGATGACCCAATATTTTGAAATGAACACTTATATTTGAACATTTTAATTTGTTTTATAATAGGTATATGACTTTAGAGTTTTCCTTAGATTTGTGTTTATACTATTAATGTTTTAACTAGATTATGTGTTATAAATTTAATTTCCTGAGACACCATAGAATAGGAGAACAGATCCTGGTGCTGTGGTATAGGGGTTACACAATGCCCTGTAAGTCTGGAATCCATATGACTAACTGCAGATTGGATCTCTTGACTGACTTGAAAACATACCAGGCATGTATGTGGAACCCTGGGATCCTGTGGAGCTGGAGAGCTGGGGAAAATGGATTGTGACATGACAAAACTCTGTCTAAGGTGCTTCTCTCTCTCTCTCTCTTTCTCTCATGCACATGCATGCACTCTCTATTATAAAAATTTAAAAAGAAAAAAAAAAGGAAGGAAATCATCCTGTTCAGTGTAGCGTAAGGTAAGAGTCATGTTATATATCTAATATATATTTTTAAATTTTGTCAATTTTTTAATAGTTTTATTTTATTTATTCATTCATTTTATTTTAATTGGACCAAAGAAACAGACAGACAGACACACACACACACACACACACACACACACACACACACACACACAGAGAGAGAGAGAGAGAGAGAGAGAGAGAGAAAGAGAGAGAGAAAGTGAGAAAGCAAGCCACCAGGTCCAGGACTCGAACTGTAGTTGGCCATGTGGGATTGTCCAGCGCCTTAACCACCACACCACTTGCTGGTCCCGGTATATATCTAATATTAACTACATTCTACTAAGTTGTTTTAGTCCACAATAGGTAGTCTCAAAGGTTTCCAAAAATCTGTATCTACTACATGAAAGACCAAGGTAGAGAAAATATAAAGATGTTCAGCTATTTTACTCTGAATTGAATTGAAATGCACAATATATTTCAAATACATGACAGTCAAAGAGAGTGACTTCCATGAACCACTGTGCAAATTGGTTTACTGGGAGTCAACTCTGCCCACTGGTTGAATGTGCTGGTTAAACAAAGCAAATAATGAAGGAATCAGAGGCACAAAATCTCACTGGCGGTTGAATTATATATGCTTGTGGTAATTTCTTGAAGTATTATTTCCCTATCATCCTTTCTTATAAGAAGTTTGAATATATCGAGTGTATGTACTCTATGACTGAAACTGATTGACTAAAGGATATACAAACACAGTAAGTGGGTGTAAATGCCAGACATAGTGTATGTGGAAGTGTAGGGCCTGAGGAAGGACATTTAGAAGAAAAGTGCAGAGGCAAAGCATTAATGGGACAAAGAAATATGTTGTCTGTTGAAGCTATTTTACAGTTTAATCAACTGGACTAGGGAGAAATGTTCACATATTGAAATATTCACTTTGTAAGCTAAATAATTGATTGAATGTATAAAAGAAAATGAAATAAAAAAAGAAAAAAAGAAGTTTGAAAAACTGATAAAAACTAATACTAAAAATATAGTATATACAGTTCTCTCTAGAGTACATCTGAGAGTACTCTATCATTATGAGCATAAAGAATGTCAAGGTCACAGGGGAAAGTCAACTGTGCACTTGGACGGACTGATTGCTCCAAGTACCCAGCACGAATGCTTTATTATGACAGAATTTTTCAAAATTTAATACATTTTATTACTTACATTTTTATATAAGGCACTTGTTCTTTTGAGAAAGTGAATGTTCTATTAAAAACCCATGAAAATGCTGTCTTTGAAAGCCTGGAAAAAATTAGCATTTAAAGTAAAATTTGTCAATAATATACCCAAGTACATACCGCTTTGTGAGTATCCTTCTTAGGGTTAATTAATCTGCTGGCCAAAATTGAAAGATGGCGAGTGAAGGCGAGAAAGGAGAAAATAATCTCGGTGCTTATATAGGTTGCAAAGGATTTCTTTTGGCAATGAAAAGAAGGCTAGTTGGAGGATAACATAACTTCTGGGTTGTTGGTGCTCTTCAAACAAAGATAGGAAAGTCATCATTGCCAATTTGGCAGTATTTTTCTGCATTTAATTTTCTTTTTTCATTTCTGAAGTGCTTTGATCCATTAATATTTGGTGTTTCCTGAAGAAACATATACAGTGACTCACCATTTCCCATTGCCTTAGAAAAATAATCTAGGACCTGTGGTCCAGGGCCAGCAGATGGCATAATGATTATGTCATTTGACTGCCACATGGTTGACCATGGTTTGATTCCCAGACCTGGAGGCTTGAAACTCATGCCAGACATGTGTGTGTGCATGCCCAAAATCCTGAGAGGAGAATGAAGGAGAAGGGATTACAACATGCTTAACCCCCTGGGGGGGGGTTGATTTCTCACTTTCTGTCTGTTTCTCTGACTCTGTCTCTCTGGTGAACGCACGCACCCTATAGAAAAAAAATCTCTGTTTAAAACAAAAAAACAAAAAAACAAAAAAACCGGAAAAGTACAATTTATTCTATTCCAAGTAATTTTTTTTTCTTTGAGAGGTTTTCGCTATAGTGCATGCACGCTCACCAGAAAGACAGAGAGAGACAGAGAGACAGAAAGTGAGAAATCACCTCCCAGGGGGGATGGCTACACCACAATCCCTTCTTCTCTATTCTTCTCTTGGAATCTTGGGCATGCATGCACATGCGCCTGGCATGTGTTTAAGCCACCAGGTCCAGGACTCGAACTGCGGTCGACTACTTGGGAGTCCAGCAACATAACCATTATGCCACCTTCTGGTCTCTATTCTAGGTAATTTAAAAAAAAGAATTATTTATTTAATTCAATTTTATTATTACAATTTTAAAATTTGCTATAGAGCATGTGTGCTCACTAGACAGAAACAGAAAGAGAGGGAGAGGATGTTAGAAGGCAAGCTACCACGTCTAGGACTTGAACCATGGTCAACCATGTGGAAGTCCAGCACTTCAACCAACATGCCACCTGCCAGCCCCTATTCAAGGATATTTTGATGAGTCACTTTTTTGAGGGGGAGGGGAATGGATTATCTTAAATGTTTTATCTCTCCATATTTTCTTTAAAATAATAATTTATTTATTTAACATTATTTGTCATTATTATTTATTTTTAATTTTATCTGAGAAAAGGAGTTAGAAAGCAAGCTGCCAAGTCTGGGACTTGAACTGTGGCTGGCCATTGGGAGTTCAGCACCTTAACCACCATGCCACTTGCTGGCCTCATATTTTCTATTTTATTTTACAAAACTACGTTGTTTGAGTAATTAAAAAAAGTTTAGATAGCACTTTATTATGATCTAGAGAGAATTTGGGAACAATGTTCTATTTCTGGTAGCAAAGAGTAGAAATAAAATAAGTGACTATTAGGTATTCTTAAATATCACACACATACACACACTCAAACACATGGTTCCATGGCCAGTAATGTTCAGAATACTTAAAATATCCAGGTTGATTGGATCTCTCTGCTGTATGCTGTAGGTTTCACGTTTTGATCTTTTTTACAATTGAAAGAACAAAATGATATTACTGTTTTGCAGATGAAGTTTCTACATATCTGATCCTATGTGTTACTTCTCACTTTTATATAACAGCTTAACTAGTAAATATTTTTGAAGGATTTGTAAAATAAATGCTTGCATTAAGATATGATTTAGGAGGAAATAGTAGGAAAAAACTCTAATGGATGGGGTCAGCAACATAGTAATTAAGGCACTGGACTCCCACATGGCTGACCTTGGATGGTGTCCTGGATCTGGTGGGTTGAAAATTATGCAAGGTACGTGTGTGTGCACCCAAAATCCCAGGAGGAGAATGGAGGAGAAGGGGTTGTGACATAGCCATTCCTCCTGGGTAGTGGTTTCTCTCTCTCTCTTTCAATGTGATTGTCTCTCTGGCTAGTGCATGCGCCATATGGCAAAAATCTTTAAGAAAAAAAATCTTGTGGCATTCAAGAAGGGACAGGCAGGAAGTTAATGCATTTTCTCAATCTTAACTATATTTTGTTGTATCTGTGATTTTCTTAGGATATTCAGATTATTTAAAAGACCTTTATAAGGATTTTTTTTTTTTTTTTTTTTTTTTTTTTTTAGGAAAAACACTTTCCTAAAGAAGAACTGAGATCATCACCATTTTAAAAAGTCATGTGGTGCGGCCACTACTAACTTGAGAAATGTATTTAAACAAACATAATGACATTCAACTTTTTCAATTATGGAGAAATTATATAGAGATTTTTTTCTTTGAAGTGATATCTGTTAGAAAGTCACAGCCTTAAAATTTTGGTAAATCCAGGCTTTGAGAAAATGTTCCTATGCAAGTTGATCCTGTAATATCTAGTTTTTGTATATGAATTAGAATTATTAAAATTATTGTATATAAATAAGAATAGCT